CGTCTTGGAAAGATCAGATATTAGGATGTACGATTGCGGACTATCATAAAGCCAGAAATTGTATTTTTCTTTGCAAGCTCATCATGACTCAATCACCTAGTTATCTTTTTTCCAAGTTATCGTTTACTCGGTCAGCCAGAGTAGGTAATATAATAATACCTTTTCATAGATCACAGCAATCATCAAGGCTGTTCTTTGTCAATGCTAGTCGATTATGGAACTCTCTTCCTGCTAATTTAAGGAGGAAATTAAACAGAAGCAATTTCAAGAACCACATATATATGCATTTTAAAGGCCAAATTTCAAACATAGACTGACCATTCAATAATTGTTTAAGTTTTTGTCATACTCAACTCATTATATATTATAATTATTTTTATTTTTATTATTATTTTTGTTAAGGTATCTGTAAAGTAATATTTACTTATTCTTCACACTATCTCTGTTGTACTAAAAAAGATATGGAAATCTGATTGTACTAATGCTTTGTTATTATTATTAAATAAATAAATAAATAAATAAAAAAAAAATCTGTAACTGAGGTTCATACCGATGCCAGTAAGAACGGATATGGAGCCATTCTGCTACAAAAGGATCCAGATGATCAACAACTACATCCGGTACAATTCATGAGTAGGAAAACTAAGCCCATAGAAGAGATATGACTTAGAGGTATTAGCGATATCCAAATATTAAAGAAGTGGAGGATATATAATATTTGTTAGGGCTAAAGTTTAAGATAGTGACGGACTGCAATGCATTTACAATGACACTCAAGAGAGCTGAAGTACCACCTAAAATTGCAAGATGGGCTTTATTTTTACAGGATTTCAATTACGAAATTGAACATCGCGCGGGGACAAGAATGTCACACGTTGACGCACTGAGTAGAGTATATTGTTTAATATTAGAAGATTCATTAAAATATCGGCTAAAACAAGCACAGCTCAGCGACGAGCGGACACGGGCGATTCCCAAAATATTAGAGAAAGACGAGTACGAGGACTTTTACATAAAATACGATATTCTTTTCAAAAATCTAAATAAGGAGTTGATAGTAGTGCCAGTGGTTATGGAGGACGAAGTCATAAAAATGGCGCACAGGCAAGGCCATTTCTCATTAAAGAAAATGCAAGATATGTTAGAGAAAAATTTCTTTATACCACAGTTAAATGTTAAAGTCAGTAAAGTAATATGAAGTTGCATTGAATGTATAGTGAATGATGCAAAGAGTGGGAAAAGGAAGGGTTACTGAATCCAATAGGCAAGGAAGACAAACCTTTAGGTACATATCACTTGGACCATGTCGGGCCTTTACAGGCTACAAACAAGGCATACAATTATATACTCGTAGTTGTGGATTCGCTTAGCAAATTCGTTTGGTTATATCCGACTAAGAACACTGTGGCTGAAACAGTGGTAGATAAGCTTAAGCAGCAGGCGATTGTGTTTGGTAATCCGAAGCGTATTATAACTGATAGAGGGGCAGCATTCACTGCCACTCTATTTAAAGAATACTGTCAGGGACAGAGCATCCAATATCTTCTTATTACAACTGGAGTTCCACGGGGAAATGGACAGGTAGAGCGGATGCATCGGATAGTAATTCCTATGTTATCAAAGTCATGAACAGAAACACCTGCAAACTGGTTTAAACATATAGATCGTGTCCAACAGTTCATTAACAACACTCCTCCACGGAGCACTAAGCAGAGTCCTTTTAAAATATTAACTAGTTTTGGTATGCGGTTGTCTAATATGCCAGAGCTAAGGGAATTTTTAGAAGATGCGTCTGTTGAAGAACTGAATGAAGAACGTGAGGCAATAAGCAAGCTAAAGACAATATTTCAAATATCCAGCAAGAGAATCGAAAGTCTTATAATCTTCGACGTAGAAAAGAGTATAAAATAAATGATTTAGTAGCTATAAAGAGAACGTAGTTTGGAGCTGGGCTTGAACTAAGACCGAAGTTTTTACTTCCTTATAGGATCACTAAAAAACATAACCATGGTCGATATGAGGTAGAAAAAGTAGGGGATCATGAGGGTCCGGGAAAGTCTTCCACGGCAGCGGAATATTTAAAAAATGGACCAGCTCTTTCGAGGGCGAATGATATCAGGACGGCCGAATGTAGTGCTGGATGTAGAGTGACAACATATGTAAACACTAAACTTAACGAAAGACGAAAGGAGAAAAACGACAACAAGGGACGCTGAATTTAAAAAACGGGCAGCTAGCCACTTGATTTCGGACCGCAGTTAAGTAAAGACGTTAGTTAGTTTTAATTCAAAATACTAATTTGTTTAAGTTTTAAATGTTATAAAATTATTACATTAAATAATTAAAATATTAAATCAAAACCTAAATAAAACCAAAACGTGTGCGTAAAAGTGATTTTTCCTACATAACTAAAAAACTAGGCATCGATAACACTTTTCGAAATCACTGCACCTACTCGTATATCTTTCATGCTATTTTTGAATTTTTTGCATTGAAAATCAAAAGGAATTATTATTTTCGATCCTTGCAGTCAAACTTAGCTGTGTAACCAAATGTTTTCTGTCTTATTTAAAAATCAGGTATTTATGAAATTGGATCGATTTTCTGTATTTCACTTCCTAGAGGAGATTATGATGATATATTCGTCAAATTACTCAAACAATCAGTAAGATTTTAAATAAAATTGAAGAAATTGGATCGGTTAAAAGTACATATAACAAGGCTTTGCTCGTTTCACTTCAAATATCGCTACTGTAAGCGAAAGTGTAGCATAAAACCTGAATACATCTATTTCTGGATGTTTTCAAGAACTGAAAGTTTCTTATAGCTCATTATGGCGTATTTTGCCTTTGGACTTACACCTATGTCTACATAAAATCCAGCCCACACAACACTTATCCATCTGCCTATTCACAACACCACACATACGTCTCAAATAATGCAAGAGAGGCCATTGCATCATAAAAAACTTACTGTCTGGAGCGCTCTTTCGTCCGCAGATATGATTGATCCTTACGAGACCATCATCCGGTCGTGTGATAACCGACTTTCTTTGGCCTGCAATTGAAGAACACAATTTTTACCCACAACACCAACGAATATAGCTTCATTGCGAGAGAAATTTAATCTATTGTCTTGGCGATGTCCATTGTCCACCGAGATCGTGAGATTTGACACCGTTAAAAATTTTTTGTGGGGCTACGTGAAGTTTTGTGCTTATGCGAATGAACCTTTAACCTTGTGAGTTATGGCTGAGATGCCGCTCAATTTCTGCCAAATTCGCAGTTCCTCGAAAATGTAAACACAGTTTGATATTTTCTTCAAAGTTTATACATAACTAGGTTGAACGAACAATAACAGTTTACAACTATATGGATGTGTTATCATGTACATATGTACCAAATTTCTAAATTTCGAAAAGTAAATAATGGTTTCTAGGATTGATCGGCCCGAGCCCCGTTTTCCGGAAGAAGTACTAAAATTCGAGTAAATCATCCAATAAATGAGATTTTCCCTCCCCAGAAGAAAAAGTGATCTTTATTATAATAAATCCGAAAAGGTATCTGTGACGGACTTATTCGAAAAAATTTTATTTGTAGTTCGATTTACTTGAAATTCGGTACGTAGATGTCTTTTTATAGTGTAATTATCGCCGGAAGTGGGCCAGCAACTGACTTATACGAAAGAGTCTTATTTACGGTTCGGCTTATGTAACATTTGGCTTTTTTCTAAGATCGACAGGAAGACTCTTCTACTCTCCGGGAGATTGTCCAGTGTCTGATCTATTCAAAAATTTTAATTTATCGCTCGATTTGCTTGAAATTTGATACATAGGTAACCTTTCGGTTAGTTTAGCCGGAATATTACATTTGTTTCCAGGAATAGTACCTAGGACCGATTTATTTGAAAAAATCGTTTCTTTAGTTTGGATTATATAAATATTTATGGAAGTGGACCAAAGGTCACCAAGCAGATGTTTGACTGGCTTGACCTATTCCATAACCCGATATATAGCACCATTCGCTGACTTGAGCTGAAGCTTTGTTGGAAGTCACGCCTGTGCTTAATCGTATATAGAACCCGCTTCCTTGCATTATCGTGTATAAAAGCCGAGCGATTTCAAAGCGGGCGCTATGGCAATTGTTATTTCAATGAATTATGCAGAATAGATATATTGTATCCAAGTGAGAGAAAAAATATCTCTCAGAACAAGACATTTGCTTAATTTTTAGTACATATGCGATCTCGCTCAATGAGAACCCCTTACGTTGGAAGCAATTCATAGTTTTACCTGAATTTATAACGTCCGAAATAGAATTCAACTTTATCAAGAGGATCTCGGCAACCGATTCATGCGAGATAATATTAGTCACGATTCGATTCACTTGAAATTTAATTTGTTGGTAAGCTACCGTTTAAGCGTTTAAATTAACATGCAGGAATTACTGGAAGTTATATTTTGATGGTATGGAGGAGACTGACATAAATATACTGCTAAACTCGCACAATCAAGAATTCTCCAAAGAAAAACTATTGCAACTGGAATTGCGAATTTCATAAGAAGAAGAAAATAAAAAAACAGCAAAGTTGGACAAATTTTTTTGAAAGAGAGCCAACCTACAACAATAAACACTAAAGACTCATCACAGAGTTGTTAATTCTATTTGTATTTTTCATAAACGATTAATTGAATATTTTATTTTATTATTATTGAATTACTTTCGTTTTGTTTTTTATATTATATGTATAATATAAAATAGAATGGAATGTTATTTTGGCTTTCTTTAATGTTTACTTTGCTTAATTTTCTTTTTAAAAACTATGTACCTAGTTTTAACCCTGGAGCCCATCTTCGGTCTTTACATATTGTAGTTTGCTTTACAATTCTTAATTCAGTTTGCGTCGAAGAGATTTAGGTGTCTACTCGTAAAAATATATACGAGTATATAGATATCGGAAGAATTTTTATTTGTAATTTATTTTATTCTTCCAATTTTCAGAATTCGAACGTACCCATTATCCAGATGTTTTTGCACGTGAGCGGCTAGCTGGTAAAATTGGCCTGCCTGAGGCTCGAATACAAGTTTGGTTCTCTAATCGGCGCGCTAAATGGCGTCGCGAAGAAAAATTGCGTAATCAGCGACGGACACCCAGTTCGACCGGTGGCAGCTCTACGGTTTCGACGACTTCCGTAACTGATAGTCCCAATAGCGGCAGAATGAGCTGCAATAGCGGTACGGCAGTTCTGCCAAGTGGAAGTAAGTATTACAATAGTCGAATAACACAAGCTTAAAATACTAAAAGATTAAAAAAGCACTCATGCTTTTCGATTATTTCGGCTATGCAACGCCGACGACAGATGCAGCGATTCCCGATACAACTATGGCATCATCCGTGACGCAAACTTCAGTGGGTGCCTCAGGCAGCGGCGCTGACACGCCGGACCATCTGGCTAGTGGACATCATTTTTCATCGTGCGGTAGCAACGCAAGCGGCTCAAGTGCCACAAGTTTTGGCGTGGGATATTCAGGTAACCGCAATAGTATTGGCATGATGGGTCTGAGCACTTTAAGTACTAGTACGTGCTCGCCAATTGGTTCTGGACATACATATCATTCAGCGGCACATCATACACATGCATCACATGCCCATATAGGCGGCTCTGTTATGCCACCTCTATCACCCCGACTTAATTTGAACAGCGGATTCAGCAGTTCCATGGGATCCATGTATTCAACGATACATCATCACTCCACGAAGCCTATGAGTGAGACCTATAGGTATGTTAATAAATGCCCATAACAGCAAGTAATTATATTTGAAATAAGTCGGAAGTCCGAAAATTCAAGCAGTTACTTTGGCAAATTCTTCATCCGACCTCGTATACATTATTAATTATTTATTTCAGTTCAATGGCTACGATGTCGTCTTTTACACATCCCTCAATTACGACGGTTCCTGGCTCACAACTTGCACAGCAACGGGATTTAAACCCCCCCTCACTATATCAGTGTCATATGTCGCTTCGCGCTCCACTGCCACCTCCGACTCATCACCACACGGTAGTTGGAAGCTTTGGAATACCTTCTTCAAGTGGTACAATTTCTAACAGCGGTTCAATAATTGGAAGCGTCAGTTCTGGCGTAACAGGAACTAGTCTATCAAATTTGCAGACTACATGCAGTGGCTATGATGCAACACTGAACACTTATAGCCAAACTGTAGGTATGCAACCAGCACCGCCACCGCTTCCCCTACTAACACCCAACATCTCCAGCAATGCATCTGCCACGCCTCAAGTCTCTAACGAAAGCTCGGCATCAACCTTAAACTGTGGCAGTGAATCAACGACTTCTACCACTAACATAAGCAACGTCATAACACTATCAGCGCGAAACTCATCGTGTAGTCCACGAACACATCAGTTGGGTACCCCTAACGATATCAGCGGGATCGGTAGTGTGGCATCGCATATCACGGACAGCTGCTCTCAAATTGGTTATGGATATGCAGCCGCAGCGGCGGTTACAACAGCAGCTTGCACCAACAACAACGAATGTTCCGCATCAATGGTACCTCCGACTCTGAGCCCACAACACCCAGCAGGTAAACAACAGCAATTTTTCGCTTCCTGCTTTTACTCACCCTGGGTTTAAAAGGAACGTGTATCGCTTAAGGCTTCGATCACTCACTCGAACATGAAATCATGAATTAAAACAGCAACGCAACACAACAATGGGGATACGTCAATATTATGAAAAAAACATGTATACAATTTTAATGCATTTTGTTAATATCAAATCAAAAATCGAAACAAACGAGTTGAAATCATTTACAGCATATCCGAGATCCACAGACATATATATCTGTGTTCATATGTATGCACATATGTACGTACCCTTAGTAAAAATAATAACTCATTTCGGAAATTTATATATATAAAAAAGCTCAGTAAAAAAAGAAACGAATAACGATGCTTCGACAATGACTTTTCTTTAGAAATTTCGACAAAGCAAAAAATTTTCTTTTCTAGAAGCTGTACATACTAATAGTACCTTTTCTTAATTATCTGTCTTCAATCTTTCAGAAATATGACGACAACTGATTTCGCGTTAAGCAATATTACTTTAAAATATTTTTTACACTAGCCCTTTGGGGACATATTGGATTTATGTAGGTAAGTACAATGGATGTCTGACCAAGTAACATGGTCTTTAGGAGGCCAATGTAATACCACATGGACTGAAGTTTCCCGCACACTGCCTTGTTCCCCTAAACCACCCTATGCGACTAACATCCAAAATTTATAGCAAATTAATTTAAATAAAAAACTAAGTTAAATTTTCTATTTGCGGTTGTCCCTCGGCAGGTAATGTCAATCCCTCCGAGAGTATTTCAGCATGAACTAAGGGCTCTTCATAATAAAAAACCATCAACCGTTCGGAGGCGGCTTAGTTTAAACTGTAGGTCCCCCCATTTGTTGGTCAAGACGCAAAAAACCACAAATTGAAGCAGGAGCCCGGCCGAAAATCGATTCAGCGGTTACAAAACTCCAATTATATATATCCGCGTAAATATGCAAGGTATTTCTAACCTACAAGTCATCGTGGATTCGCTTATAACTACTTAACATTACGAAATATTGGCTGGTAAACCACCGCTCAAGCGAACAAAACAAAAGAGATAATATGCACATATTGGTGGAAAAAACTCATGCACACATAAGCAACTGGTTGATATTATTATTATCCACCTTTGCTGAGGACTTCGACAACCAAATATATTTACAGACTCGTATTAAAATGATTGTCTTTTCTGTCCATGCCCGCCCATCCTAGGTTCTTAGGGTATCTTTCTTTATTTATTCTTCATTTTATACAACCAATAAAAGATTTCGGATCATTATATTTTCTTAATATTTCATTTTACAAATTTTTATTCATTTTAATCAGGTTAACAGATGTACTCTTAAGGTAGCTAACCACATATCTTTAACAAATATTTTCAACAAATTAAAAAATTTAGATTTTATCTAACAAATGTTAAATAAATTGTTATCAAGTGAAAAACCTTCGAATACAGCAAACCGAGTAAAAAAATTATTGTAGTTATTGAAAAAACAAACACCTTTCTGAATATAATAATATTGTGGCGAAAATGCGAGACGAATGTCAGATGAAAGAGAGAAGCCGATAACTAGTACATTCTAGAGCGATAAAACGAGAACCTTTCTACACTTTCGTCTACGAGCAGCCGACTACTATATAAAGCCGACACTTCTTTTAACGGAAGAAACTGCAAATTAAGTTGGCGATTTTTTATGTAACAATCCAGAGATCGTTGATTCAGCAAAATCGTAACAATATATTAGAATCAAATTCAATGCAATCAATATAAAAATCTCTTTTGGAGTTAATGGAAGTTTACATACCACAAAAGTCATAGGTGAAAATAGAGTTAACAAGGACACATCTGTATATTGTATATCAGGTGTTATCACTACTCCATGGCTTTGAAAAACGAAGTTTAAGTTAAAAAATGATTGATGATGGTTTAATTTGACCGTCAAAGCAGAAAACCCGACTCCGACGATAACAAACAATAAAAGTTAACTGAGTATCGGAAGCTTAATGCAATCATTGCATATCGCTTGCCAATATCTCAAACTAATGAAGTGCTTTCATATCCAACCCCAAAAACCGTCAAGCAACTCCGATAATTTTTAGGGCTTTCCGGCTTTATCGCCGTTTAAAAAGGATCACACCATGCTTGCAAAACCTCAAACATTGCCCTTAAGAGAGGAAGAAGACTTTGTCTCCAAAAGTAAATTTGCTTCAACAAAGAGTAAACTCATTGGAAAGAGAAGATGCTTTCAAGAAAATTAAAAATTCCATTTTGTCCGAAGATATTGTACTTTCATATAATATATTTTCATCGCCGATGCTTCCAACTTGCTATTAGAGCAGTCTTTTCCTGAAGATAGAAAACCTATCTCATTAATTTCCAGAACCATAAATTAAACAGAAGCCTATGCTACAAACGAAAAAGACTTTCTAGCGATAATATGGGCTTTGAATATTTTTAGAAACCACCATCGCTTAACCCAAGCATTTAAGAACAAAAACAATTACTCAAAATGAAACGCTGGAAATCAATTCCATAAGAATATAATTACGAACTTCACTATAAATTAGGCACAACCCATATTGTAGTTCATGCCATACCTACCACGAATGATCGCAAAACCAATTAACTCTTATCAAGTACTATAAAATAGTGACGACAGCTCTTCCGACAATTTAATTCCATCAGTGAAACCCCAATAAATGTTTTCAAGAACCAAAATTTTTTAACAATAATCTAACAATGCTCAGCATGTAAAAAAAAATGAAAATCTGCATCATAATAAAGCAGGCCTAAGAGAAACATCTATATCTCAATACCCCGGACAAGTTGAAACGATTTTCGGCCGAGCTTTTCCTTCAATTTTTGGCTTAGCATCTTGATGTTTTTCCAACAAATGAGGGGGTCTACAGTTTATACTAAGACGCCTCCGAACGGCTGATGGTTTTTTTTTGATGATCTTTATTTCATGTCAGAAATATACTTGAAGGAGTTGACATTCCTGGGGGGGGGTCGACCGAAAATAGAAATTGAGCTTAGCTTTTTATTTCAATTAATTTAATATAACTTTTTGGATCTTATTAAGACCGCTGCCGGACAAGTTTCACACACAGATATATATATGTAAATGCAATATGTATATATGACGAATGCTTTATTTCAAGTCAGAAATATACTAAGACGCCTCCGAACGGCTGATGGTTTTTTTTTGATGATCTTTATTTCATGTCAGAAATATACTTGAAGGAGTTGACATTCCCTGCGGAGGGTCGACCGCAATTAGAAAAGTTAGGTTAATTTTTTATTTATATTAATTTTCTAACTTTTTGGACGTTATTACGACACCAGGTTTTGAACCGAGCTAAACAATCGGCTACCGTGGCCGGCGGACAAGTTTATAACCTCTTATAACCTATGTTAAATAACCTCTTCGCGAGCTACTTCTTCAATTTAGTGTAAAAACTCTCTTCATATTGACAATGAAACCTCTCTCACTTCAGCTGCTCGTTCGTTGAAGAAGCCGAAGAGGAAGTATGTATTACCAGATCCAACTAGCTCTGGTGACGATAGGGTTGATTTCGGAACTAGTTACTTTAGGTAGGCAACTAGCAGCGGTTAGGTCATTGGTGGATGCTTTTGCTCCTCCTCCGAGTCACAAGGCCAAGAGGTTTTCGGAATCTGACCTGGCTGGTGTAGAGGTCGCGGCGGTAGCAGAGCCGGACATAGTTGATAATTTTAAGCCGGGGTCGAATACTAGATGTTTTAGTTGTAGGAGATTCTGGCATGTCTTTTTAAAATGTAGGAAAGGGATTAAGTGTTTAAGTTGCGGTAGACTTGGAGTTATGAAGCGGGACTGACCGGTGGTTGCAGCGAAGCCAAGACAGCGGGGCAATTTTCAGCCGAGCAATAGGGTTATCAGATCGGGAAACGGGAGATAGACCCCGGGTACAGCAGGACAGGCGGTCTAGTAAGGCGAGTTAGTAAACCTGCTAACTCCCTGCTAGCAAACGTAAGTAATAAGGTTGTAGAAGTTAGGTTCGCGTTTACGTTAATGAGGAATGGTCACGACTAGCGCCCTTATTTGTATGCTAAGATCTATGGTTTTGCTTTCAAAGCTCTGTTGGATTTTGGTGCGACCAGAACAGTAATAGGTCGATTAGGTTGGCAGAAATTGAGTTATTTTGGTATTAGCTTGAGTTCTGCTTCCAATTTTTTGAGAGTGACCTTCGCGAATGGAGGTCATATATCGGTGTTAGGTTCGGTTTTGTTGATAATCGAGTTGGAGAGCAAGTCGGTTGTCCTGGAACGCCTCGTGGTTTCACAGTTACCTCAGGGCGTAAATTTAAGCATCGATTTTTGGGCCAAGCCGGATATGTCGCGGATGAGGTGGTTGTTTTCTCGGCCGGAACTAGAACCATTGGTGGCAAAAATGGACCACTAGAGTTAGTCGATAGAGAGTCTAGGGCATAGGGTTATTTAACGCCTGGTACGTTCCAGGCTATGGCAGAAGGGCTTAGTCAAACAAAAGATCAGGGTTAGGGCAGGAGTTAAACCTGTAGCACAGAGGTATTAACCGGTGTTTCCGGTCATACAGTCGCTTATGGACGATGAGATTAAGGATATGCTTGACCAAGGGGTGATAGGGAATCACATAGTCCTTGGGCGTGTCCAGTTGTAATGATCAGGAAGAAAAACGGTACATATAGGTGTTGTGTAGATTATAGGGCTTTGAATGAATGTACCGATAAGGATAGCTACTCTTTTCCATACGTGTCCGCGAGCCTAGATAAGCTAAGGAATTCCAGGTTTCTGTCCAATCTGGATATAAAGTCCACTTATTGGCAAATTCTGGTAGAAGTGCAGTCGAGGCCCTTTACAGCGTTCACTTTACAAGGTAGAATGCCATTTCAGCTTGGTAACAGCTCCGGTTTTGAGCTGCCCTAATTTTGATAGGCCTCTCACAATCCAGACAGACACGTCTGATTTCGGTGTTGGTGCGGTGTTAACGCAAAAGTTTGATGATGGTGAGAGGGTGATAGCTTATTTGAGTAGGTCCTTGAACAAAGGAGAGCGAAACTATTCGACGACCGAAAAGGAGTGTCTGGCGGTTCTGTGGGCGGTTGAGAAACTGCATCCATATGTTGAGGGCGCTAAGTTTGCGGTCGTTACTGATCATTATTCACTTATTTGGTTGAATAAGTTGAAGGATCGGCTGTATGCGACAGTGGACCCCAATTAAGAAGTCGAGAGCTTTGGGGCCTCTGCGGTGGTTATGGCGTCCAACTTCG